GCGCTGTCCCTCAGCTCTTCAGCTCAAGGCTAGTGCCTTACCACTTGAACCACAGCGCCACTTCTGGCTTTTTTCTGCTTATGTGGTGCTGAGGAATTGAACCCAGGAACTCATGCATGTGAGGCAAGCACTCTACCACTGAGCCAACTTCCCAACCCCATAGAACTCTTATCTCCAATAAACCACCAGAAAACCGAAGTGGCGCTGTGGTACAAGTGGTGGAGCCCTCCCCTTGAGCTGAAAAGTGCAGGGACAACACCCAGGCCCAGAGTTCAAGCCCTACAACAACAAAAAGAATAATACTGCTGAGGTGCACCCTTCTGTATCTGTTATTCATTTCTTTCTTATTATTGAGTATCCATATATGTTAGTATATGGATAATGGATCTAAATAAAACAATTTTTTTAAAAACTATTTTCAGCCAAATTTCAAAGGTATCACTCTTATACCTCATAACATTCTAAACTACTGGAGAAGAACAGAAAAGGCACAGAATTCAGGGTCAGTCAGAGGCTTGAAATCTAATTCTAGGTTTTGCATTTATCAGTTCTCAGACCCCGGATACCTTATCAATAAAACAAATGAAACAATATAATCCTCAAAAGATCCTTGTGAGAACAGAAAAAGAACTTTGAAAATGGTAAAGCCTAACACAGAGTAGCAATTTTAATCATTGTATTCTCTAGGAAGCAAAAGCTGTGAATAGAAAATACTCACAAGTAATCATCTATGAAATTAATCCCTCCTCAAATATCTTGTCTCTGTATGTGGGTAACCTAAGACATGTCACTTGAACTCAGCCTCATATTCTTCCATCAGCAAAATGGAGCTCAATAGGGGTACATACCACACATTAGAATGATTAAATGAGCAAATATGCGTAAAACTTTTAATATAGTAGGCACTATGTAAGTTTTAGCACTGATGGCAAAAATACTATTACCCTACCAGACCTAATTCTAGCCTGCCCATCTGAACTGCAGTGGACAAGTCATTCATGATGTAGTGATTCACATGCTCTTAGTGAGCAATGGCATCATTTAAACAAAATCTTAAAAAAAAAAAAAAAAAAAAACTTACTTTAGAAGAGTTTAGTAAGTTACAGAATTACTACAAAGACAGTCCAGAGTTTCCATATACCTAAAACTCAGCTTTCCAATATTAATCTTTTTTTTATTGTGAAAATACCGGTAGAGAGGGGTTACAATTACATGAGCAAGGTAATGAGTACATTTCTTATCAAGCATTGTTGCCTCCTCCTTTGTTTCCCCTTTCCATCCCCAATGTTAATCTTATAGTAACATGGCTTATTTGTCACATGCAAATATATTTAATGATGTCCATAATTTATTCTGATGTCCATAATTTATTCCTGTGTTCCAGGATCTCATTCAGTGTACATACATTTCAGAGGTATACCCTTCACAGGAGTTTCCAGGCCCAGCTATTCTAATGACAGTTACGTTTGAGGTGGGGCCCAAGGATTACTGTTGGGATGACTGAAAAATACATTTAAAAGAGCAATGGTCTAGATTTTGCACTCAGATATGTTGCACAATACAATTGCCACTAGCCATAGGCCAACTGCTTCCAGTCTAGATTTTAGACCCAGATCTCTTGTTCAATACAATAGCCGTTAATGTAGCTACTGAAAATTTGAAATATGAGCAGCATAAGCTGAAATGTGCAGCAAGTGTAAAATATGTGTAAAAATATGTAAAAAGCCCAAAAGAAGAACAATTTCCTTGTTGATTATATGTTCAAATAATTTGAACATACTGTTAAATTTATTTCATTTGACTTTTCTCACTTTGCTTCTAATGAGTACTAGAAACCTTAAAATCACAAGGTTTCTATGAAACAGCAGTGGTCTGTGATCTAGGCAGAAGAACAGCACCCACAAAATCTGGGAACTTGTTAGAAGTACAGGTGATTCCCATGCACCTTAAAGCTTGAGAAGCTCTATATTTTCAACAGAGGAGACAAGTTTAGAAACAGCATTTATCAGTTCACTTTAAATATAAAGCAAATCATTTGCAAAATCAAACTGCAAAACAAGAGGGAAATGACTGGGTCACAGCAAAGCCATCTACAAAAAAGTTCTGACAAGTGGACAGGTTAACTGAAGAAAAGCAAAGCCCCAAAGACGCTGGCTGACAGGTCCTCCACTAAGAATGATGTAAGAGGGGCTGGGGGTTTAGCCCAGTGGAAGGGCGCCCGCAAGGCCGTGGGTTCGGTTCTCAGCCCTGGTTTAAAAAAAATAAATAAATAAATAAAAAAAGAATGATGTAAGGATGCTATGTGTTGGCATGATACCTTTTCCTATGTGATTCATGCTACAAAACTATGCATATTTATGATAACTAAAATTACTGGACAAAGGGTATGCCTTGGTGGTAAAACACTTGCCCAAAACTAAGCAAGACTGGGGATTATTTAATCTCTAGCACCAGCAGCAGGAGAATATCTTCACACATAAAATTGTTAAAATACAGAAAGTTTTCATTTTACTTTTCTTTCCCACTCTTTATTATAAAATTAAAATACAAATTTTCACTGAAAAGTTAAACACCAGAACCACTTAATAATTTCACAGGTCACGATTATTGGCTCACTGTTATTCTAGTCCACTTAAATTGATTACCCCTGTTAGAGTGATAAGGTTATGAATACATGTAACTTTTCTAGTTAGTTTCATAGTCTGTGTATGGCACATACATCCTTAATAATTATTCCTATTGGATTTTTTTAAACTATTGAATATGAAAGGCAAAAACAAAAACCCAGATTATTATCTTTTTTCTCAATAATGGCATCTGTTGAATTTAAACTTATAAAGCTTCCTTTTTATCAGTCTATTGAAAAAAAGCACTGAGCAGATATCCTCTACTTAATGAAAGAAACGTTGGCTGATAGGTACAAATAATATACTATTTCCTACAATATTTATATAAATATATATGTGCATGACTCAACTGTTTATAGTAAAAAAGAAAAGGAAGAAAAAGAAGGAAGAAGGAAGAACAAGGATAAGGATAAGGAAAAGGAGGAGGAGAAGTGAGAAGAGGAGGAGAAAGAGGACGAGGAGAAGAAGGGCACTGGTTGCTCATGCCTGTAAGCTTAGCTGCTGAGGAGGCTGAGATCTGAGGCTCGAGGTTGAAAGCCAACCTGGGCAGGGAAGTCCAGGAGACTCTTATCTCCAATTAACCACCAGAAAACCGGAAGTAGCACTAAGGCTCAAAGTGGTAGAGTGCTAGGTTAGCTTTTAGTAAAAAGATGGGGTCCCTGAGTACAAGCCCCAATACCCACCCACCCCCAAAAAAGTACTAACAATTATATAATCATAACTCATTGAACTGGTGGCATATTAGGAACCAATAAGCAACACCCCACTTTGTTTTTTCAAAAACATTATTGTGGTTTGTCTCATTACTTTCATTCTGACTTTTTTTTATTATCTCTAAGTAGTTGTACAAAGGAGTCAATGAGCTTTATATGAGTGACAGTCTACCAAATACTAAGACACAGATAAACACATAACCTGTTACAATTCACTTAATTTCTTATTTGCATTTTCCCAACACAGAAACCCCTCCAGAACAGCGGTAACTGTTTCCAGTTTGTCTAATTCTTCAGGTAGCTGGGTTCACTACCTGCCCTTAGGGCTCCCAAAGGCCAGCTCAGAAATGTTTCCCAGGGAGTGAAAGACAAAAATACAGCAGTCAGACAGTCTTACTCATAAAGAGCAGGTAAAGAAAAGTAGGTATTATGAACAAATGTCTCTAGGCCATCATTTCTCAACTTTTAAGTGTGGACGAGGCAATGCTAAGAGCTACATATTTTTGAATAATTTCTCATTGCAACATCCTGTCTTACAAGGCCTCACCTTTAGAAGTTGGAGGCAGAATTTGGACTAGAACTCAATGCTCCTTCCTCCAATTTACCTCTCCTGAAGAATGTGTGCCTCAATGATCAATAAAATCTACTTCCGTGTGTCATCACAAACCATAAAGCAATACACAACCAAGCCTAATAGTGTTTTAAAAAAAATAAAGAAAAACCCTTACAAACCACAACAACATCGCATTTGGAATGACGTGAGAACTTTCTGGACAAAGGTATTCTTTTATACATTCGGCTTTAACCTTTGCAAAAGCATTTTAAACTGCTGCTTCAGGCAAAAGGAAAACATCACTGGCCTGGAAAAGTGAAGGGCGTGCCTTTTTTCTCTAACAACCACCCTGTGGCCATTTCTTCTACACCAGAGGGTCTGCAGTTCACCGACACGACACGACACGTCAAAGGGACAGTCACACTGGGAACACAAATCTGGAGATGGGAAGAGGATAGTGCACTGGGGGTGGGGGGGGGGGAGGAAGGGTTTTTTAATTCAAGGATTTGGGAGGAGATTCCGCCAAGCCGAGCTGGGAGGGCAGCAAATGTCTATGCATTAGGGGCGGGGCACGTCTGAAGACTGCGGAGAAGAAAAGTGTCCTGTTTAAGGTCAGGAGCCCTCCAGCGATGCCCCAGGTGGGTTTCCCTGCTGGGCAAAGAGGGAGGCCCGGGAGGGAGGACGGCACCTGCACGGCCTTTCACCTCCACCACACACACACACACACGCACACACACACGCCACCCAGCCACCCTCCCTCCCGGGGGGCGGGGCGGCCGCTGCCCTCACACAGGAAGTCAGGAAACCCAGGGGGCATAGGAGCCACAACTTCGGGCCCATTTAAACCCGGGGGTGCCCCCCCCCGTCGGCGAGCGGGCTGTCGGCGCCGCCCCCCCCCCCGCGCCCACCTCCCCCGGCGCGGACCCCCTCGCGCTCCGGCCGCACCTCGCGCGCGCGCCGCACGCCGCCCCCCCCCCGCACACGCCCCCGCCCCCACTCCAGGCTCCGCTGCCCTCGCGGGGCACAGCCCGAGCCCTCGAGCGCCTTTGTGCACCGCCGCGCTGACTACCCTGGGTCCGCGGGGGGCCCGCCTCCCAGACACCTTACCGAAGGCAGGCCCCGGGGCCTCGAGGCGGGCAGCTCTCCCTCCTCGCGGCCGCGGAAACACCACAGCGAGCCCGGAGAGCTCCCACAAGGCGGCCGCCGCAGCCCGGCGTCCCCGCAGGCTGGTCTCTGAGGGAGGGTAAGTTCCAGGGCACGTCGGAGCGCGCCGGCGCGGGGGCGGGGCGGGCGCCGGCGGGGGGTGGGGCGGGGCTGGGGTCACGTGGTCGGCGGGGCGGGAGGCTCACGTGACAGCCGGAGTGGGCGCGGAGGCGAGGCGAGGCGGGGCGGGGGGCACGAGGGGCACGAGGCCTTCGGGTGGGCCGGGCGCGCGCCGGGAAGAGGCCTCGGCTTGGGGGGGGGGAGGGGGAGGAAATCGCGGAGTGGGCGGGGCCGGGGAGAGGCGGAGCGGGAAGAGCGCGGGAGCAGCTGGGGGGCACTCGGGCGGCGGTGTGGGCGTCCGCACTTTGTAAACATGTAGTGGGAAGTGTGGTGCAAACGCCGTGAGGGGAAACGAGGGAAGGAGGGCGAGCGAGAAGCCGGCGGAGGGCTGGGGTGTCAGGAATGGAGCCCGGGAAGCGGCGGCGAGGCCGTGGGCCCTGCCCGCCGGGGAGTCACTGCCCGCCAGCCCCACACCGCCCTGGGAGGCTGGAAGCGGCGCCACACGGAGCGCCGAGCCCCTTGGTACGAGGTCTGCGAGCGGCGTGCTGGGGTCGGGCCGCCGGGGCTTGACCTGCTGTGCCTCCTCTGGGGCCCCGCGGCCTGTCCAGTGGGGGCCGCCGCGTCGCCCTCGCCCCAGCCTGCGGCGCGTGCCCGCTGGGCCCCGTCCCCCCCACCCGAAGGTCTCCCCTGGTGGAAGGGTTTGGATGGGACCGAAAGAGCATTGGGAAAGAGACCTGGCTTCTGCCAGGAATTGCCACTTCCCCCGTCGGATTCCAACTGTCAAATGGGAAGATTGACTTAAAGCCTCATTCTTCTAGTTCTAGAATGTGTTGACAGGAAAAACAACCCTTCGGGACATCAGACATATTTATAAACCACTTGTTGATTGGGTTGACTGTGGTGCTCGGATGAAAAGTTAATACAGACCAGAAAAGTGGGGGGGGGGGGGGGGAAGGAAGGAAGCGAGCATATGATTTCAGAGGCGTTCGCTGGAGATGGCTCTCTGTGCTTTTGTTACATACTTAAAAAGGCCACCATGTCTGACTTCCTTTTCACAATTTAAACTTCCAATTGTTCTTCAAGGATGTTTAAAAAAAAAAATCCACTGAGGTGTTGGCAAGGCTTTCAACGTAGTAAGCTGTGGCTCAGAACCTTATTAACTAGTGGGGGCTAACATTTTTAAATATCCTCCTCTAAGATGCTTAAAATGAGATTTTTTTTTTAATAACCTTGAAGCTGAGCATCAGTGGCTCAGCTCACCTCTAATCCTAGCTAGACAGGAGGCTGAGATCTAAGGATCCCGGTACTAAGCTGGCCAGGCCAGAAAAGTCCACAACATTCATATCTCCAGCTAATCAGCAAAAAGCAGTAAATGGAGGTGTAATTCTCAAGTAACAGCTCCTCCATTTAGCAAAAAAAACTAAAGGATAGTTTCAGCCCCAGTTCCAGCACAAAAACCTTGAGACTATACAAACATTCTTTTTTTTGGAGGGGGGGGGGGGTCCGGTCGTGGGGACTGAACTCTGGGCCTGGGCGCTGTCCCTCAGCTCTTCAGCTCAAGGCTAGCACTCTACCACCTGAGCCACAGCGCCACTTCCGGCTTTTTTCTTTTTTGCTTAATGTGGTGCTGAGGAATCGAACCCAGGGCCTCAGGCATGCAAGGCAAGCACTCTACCACTGAGCCATCTTCCCAGCCCCTATACAAACATTCTTATACTTAGCCTACTCCCTTTCCTTGGCTTTCACCGTCCTGTCTCCTTCAGTTTCTAGTATGTTCCCTTTTCCATGCCTTTGTTCAGCATGTACAAGTATGCCTTTGTTCAGCCTACAGAGTATTGCTGCTGTAAGCTTCTGAAGCTATTTTCCATAGAATCCCCTGAAATCTCTAAAATCAAAACAAGGACAGTCTCAAAAAGGAAACTGTGCCCTGATAAGAATGTGCTGATAACTTTCTCTTCCCTACTTCCCAAACCTGAATAGGGCACCCTTAGTTTCTGCAAGCCATAGAAACCCAACAGTTTGCATACACTTGCAACTCCACTTGTAACTCCACTTCCTATTTCACAACCTAATCTCAGATGATACCACAGTGTCCACAGTATGCTGATCACCAGCAACAGCAGATGGAGTCAGATAAAAAGAGCTCTCTTGCTAGTGTGTGTTTTAAAAGGACCTGATGGAGAGTTACGAAATCATATGCAACATTGCCTCTAGTTGGTTTTTAAATAACACTTGTAGCATATGTCTGGCACCCATGCTCAGGATCTCAACAGATCATTTTCAGGATTGTGACATTTAACTGGCTTCTTAGGAAGTAGCAGAGAGTTCCAGCATGTAGAACTTAAATGTAAGTTTCACACTAGGCAGAGATTTTAGTCTGATCTGTTTGTGTAACATATCCCAAGTTCTTAAAAGCTCTTGGCACACCTTAAATGCATCAGAAGTTCTTTTGAATGTATTTTTCAGTGAAAATGAGCTCTGAATTGCTGAATTAAACTTGTCCTAATTTCTTCCAATTCTTTAATAGGTAACCTACTTTCATTGTATATTTATTCCTCACTGAAAAGACTTTAAATTTATGTCTGGCATCACTACTTTGGCTGAGCTACTAGAAACAGGAATTTGGCAACATTTATCAAAATTACAAATGCATTTATACTTGGAACCTCCAATTTCACTTCTAGGGATTTATCCCAAAGATATCATTCCACACACAAGAAAGATACAGTATTTCTGATAGTGCCATTGCTTGAATAAGTGTTTTAAAGGCTTGGGCCCAGGATGGTCACATAGGAATATGATGGAACTAGTAGAAGGTGTTCAGGTCATTGGGAACAGGTGACTTTGAAGGAAATTGTGGGACCCCAGTCCCTTTATCTTTCTCATCTTGGCCATGAGGTGAGCAGTTTAGCTCCATTACATACTCCTACCATAATATGCACCCTGACTGCAGTTCCTACACAACAGGACCAATGAATCAAGAACAGAATCCAAAATACCTGTGAGCCAAAGTAGGGCTGGTATTAATGGAAAAAGAATGCATATAATATTATTGAAAATAGTAAAATACTGGAATAACATAAATCAGTAGGGCACTTTTTTAATTTTGGTAGAGACAGACATTGAATTATACAGCTGTTAACAAAAAATATAAAGAAAGAGGAAAGAAGAAAGGAAAAGAAAAGAACTTTTTTTAAATTGTGCCATTCTGGATGCTATCACTGAGCATTTTTACTCAAGGCTAGTGTTCTACCACTTAAGCCACAGTCCCACTTCCAGCTTTTTGATGGCTAATTGGAGGTAAGAGTCTCATAGACTCACCTGCCCAGGCTGACTTGGAATCTTCCCAGTAGCTAGACTTACAAGTGTGAGCTACCAGTTCCTGACTGAATTCTTTGTTTTTTAATATTAAGATTTCTATGGTTCCCTTAAGTAAAGAAGCAGAAAAATGTACCTTCTGTATGTGTTAAACTAGGACAAACTAACTGTTGGGGTATGTGTACTCAGTAGATGGTAGATACAGGAGATGGACTTTTCAGTGCATTCATAGTTAAACTTCTTGATGTTTAAACTATGAGAACAATTTATCCAAAAAGTTTACATTAAAATATTTAAATTGGTGTGGTATCTTTATTTTATTATTAAAACATTTAAATTCCTCCTATTTTAAATTTACTTGATTAGAATAATTGTATCAGACAATCTAGTACATGTCAAGCAAACTTTTAAAAATCTTTTAAATTTAAAAGCAACTTATTTTTCTTAAGAACGAATAATCCCTGTTTCTGACTAATAATTTAAGGTCTAGGTATCACAGTTAGAGGCTTATATGTATCTTATCAAATGTCTGTTGCCATTTTTTATTTATTTATATGTAATTATTTGCTTATTTTTTGCAGTGCTGGAGAGTTCCACATAGGGCCTCATGCATGTTAGGCAAGTCCTCTAACACTAAGCCCCAGGTTCTGTAAATTTTCAAAAGTAATTTTCTTATAGTAGGTCCTAAACAAGTTTTAAGGATCTTTGGATCTTCTGTTTTAAACAATAAAATGGGAATTTCACAAACCATTGTTTTGTTAAGGTCAAGAAAAATATGTGTTGGAATAAACATTAAAGATATGTGTAGCCGGGCGCCGGTGGCTCACGCCTGTAATCCTAGATACTCGGGAGGCTGAGATCTGAGGATCATGGTTCAAAGCCAGCCCAGGCAGGAAAGGCTGTGAGACTCTTGTCTCCAATAAACCACTAGAAAACCGGAAGTGGCCCTGTGGCTCAAGCGGTAGAGTGCTTGCCTTGAGCTGAAGAGCGCAGGGACAGCGCCCAAGCCCAGAGTTTAAGCCCAACAACCGACAAAAAAATAAATAAATTAAAATTAAAAAATAAAGATATATGTTTCTGTGTGCATTTGTGCACTCACTTTGTAATGTCAATGGCCTCTTGTCTCCATGGGTTAGACATATGCCCTGTAAATGATTTTTGCCTTTATCTTTTACTGTTTCGTTATACTTTTATGTGTGCTTAATTTCCAGAAGTTTCAAAGAGAATTATGGTTATAACTGCAATAGTGATCAAATTTACAGAACACCATCTCTCTAGAGATTATTAATATTTTCTTATGAGATCTCACTGTTTTTACTATGTAAACTTACATGAGCTGCTTTGTAAATTGATACCTACAGCTTTATTTCCAAAATTATCTACTCTGGTAGCACACACCTATAATCCTAGAACTCAGAAGGATAAGGCAGAAGGACCATGAATTTAAGGCCAGCCTAAGTTGTATAGCAACTTCTAGGCCACCCTGGGCTACATAGTGTGAGTGTCTGAGAGAGAGAGAAAGAGAGAGAGAAAAGTTAGTAATTGGACTTCAAATTTATATGTGATCAGCCAATCAAAAGTTCAGGTATATAATTAAAGTATATAAGAAATTATAATTAAACTAATTTATTCTGGTCATAGCCTTTAAATTAAAAATGAACT